CATCATTCAATATTTTGCCCATAGAATCTTTCAATATGGCAACTCAAGGCTTAAAGTTTTTCTTCAGTTCTTTCAGCTTGAGAAATGCCTAGTGTATTCTTCCCTTTTGGTTTTCTAACTCCAGGTCTTGGCACATTTCATTATAGTAATTGGCTTTGTCTGCTCAAGCTGCTCTTTGAAATCTTCTGTTCAGCTCTTTTATCTTGTCATGTCTTCCATTGGCTTTAACTACTCTTAGCTCAAGGGCAAGTTTCAGATTCTCTTCTTACATCCATTTTAGTCTTTTCTTTCTTGTATTTTTAATGACCTCTTGCTTTCTTCATGGCTGATGCTCTTGATGTCATCCCACAATTTTTTTTTGGTCATTGGTGTTCTATGCATCAAATCTATTTTTTAGATAGTCTCTAAATTCAGGAGGGATATACTCAAGGTCATATTCTGGCTCTCGTGGACTTGTTTTAATTGTCTTCAGCTTCATCTTGAACTTGCATATGAGCAGTTGATGATGTGTTCCACAATCAGCTCCTGGCCTTGTTTTGGCTGAAGATATTGAGGTTTTCCATCACCTCTTGCCACAACTGTAGTCAATCTGATTCCTGTGTACTCCATTTGGGAAAGTCCATGTGTATAGCAGCCATTTGTCTGGCTGAAAAAAAGTTATTTGCAATGAATAAGTCGTTGGGTTGCAAAATTCTATCATGCAATCTCCACCATTATTTCTGTCACCAAGGCCAAATTTTCCAACTACCGGTGATTCTTCTTTGTTTCTAACTTTTGCATTCTAATCACCAGTGATAATCAACACATCATGATTTTATGTTCGGTCAATTTCAGACTGCAGAAGTTGACAAAAGTCTTCAATCTCCTCATCTTTGGCTTTGGTGGTTGGTGTGTAAATTTGAATAATAGTAGTATTGATGGGTCTTCCTTGTAGGTGTATGGATATTATCCTATCACTGACAGCATCGTACTTCAGGCAGATCTAGAAACATCCTTTTTGATGATGATTGGCACGCCATTCCTCTTCAAATTTTCATTCCCTTTATTGTAGATCAGATGGTCCTCTGATTCAAAATGGCCAAAACCAGTCCATTTCAGCTCACTAATGCCTAGGATATCAATCTTTATGTGTTCCATTTCATTTTTGACAACTTCTAATTTTCCTAGATTCTTAGTTCATACTTTCCGTGTTCCAATTATTAATGGGTGTTTGCAGCTGTTTCTCCTCAATTTGAGTTGTGCCACGTCAGCACATGGATGTCCTAAAAGATTTACTTTATCCATATCATTAAGGTTGGTTCTACTCTGATGAAGCAGCTCTTTCCCAGTCCTATTTTGAGTGCCTTCTCACCCAAGGGGCTTGTCTTCCTGCACTGTGTCAGACAATGTTTCCAAGCTATTCATAAAGTTGGGCAGTAATGTATCAGATAGTGTTTCTCTGCTATTCATAAGGATGTCCCTGGCCAATTCTTTGAGAAGTGGATGGCCTCTTCCTTCTTCCTAGTCTGTCTCAGTCTGTAAGCTTCATTGAAACCTGTGCACTATGTGCAACCCTATTGGCACTTGAAATACCAGTGGCACAGCCTCAAGCCTCACCGCAACATACAAGCCACAATAGTATGACAAACTGACAGACAAGTTTGTCTCCCTTAGCTGTTCGAAACCTCTCCGTCCTCCCCTTACCTGTATCCCTGTCAGTGCTCTACTCTGTCATTGTCTCTAGTTTCTCTTTTCCCTGCTTTCCTGGATGGTGTGGGTGGGGCCTGGGTCCCTCCCTCCCCTTACCTAGATGCCTGGCTGCTGCTCTTCTCTGTTGTCGCCTCTGGCTTCTCTTTCCCCCACTTTCCTGGCTGGTGGGGGTGAGGCCTGGCTTCTGCTCTGTCTAGAGTTCATGAATAATTGCATACTTGGAAGTGCTACATATCAATTTTATACATACATAATAAAATGGCTAACTATGTTCAGTTTCTTATGTTTTTCTGCATAGGATCCAAATGAAGATACAGAATGGAATGAAATTTTAAGAGACTTTGGCATTCTTCCTCCAAAAGAAGAACCAAAAGATGAAATTGAAGAAATGGTTTTACGTTTACAGAATGAAGCAATGGGTATAGTTGTGCATTTGGTGGGCTGGATGAAGAAGATAATATAGTTATGATAGTGATAGTATATTTCATGAACTCAGAGGGAGACAGGGCATTAAAATAATTTAATTTAAACCCTATGCACAATTTCAGAATTAGGATGCTGACACCTAAAATGACTAAATTGCTTATTGAAAGCTACATACTAGTTAATAACAGCTAAAATATCCTGGTTTCTAACCTTGTGAGATTTTTTCCTCCCACCATATCCCTCTACCTCATAATTCCCTTATGTTTAGGTAATTCTATATAGTATCATTTGTCAAAGCTTCCAGGTATTTGGCTAAAACTAAATTGATGGGGTCTGATTTTCATGTCTGCTTTTAAATGCATCCTAGTAGTTCTGTAAACTTTAAGAGTGTGATAGTACTTTAACATTGCAGTTTTTCCAATATGTAAAGCTATTTGGTAGCTATTTCAGATTTGTTTAAAGATATTCATTATCTCCATTTATCAAAGCTACTATGTTTTTTGAGAGATGTGATTGTAAACTAAGAATAGTTTTTAAAGAATTCAATTATATACCAATTTGTGTTGTTTTAGTTAAACCATATGAAAAGATGACTCTTGCACAGTTGAAGGAAGCTGAAGATGAATTTGATGATGAAGACATGAGAGCTATTGAAATATATAGGTACAGTGGTTCATTTGGATTACTTTTGAGTTTTTGAATGGAGAAGTAGTGTAAGGATGAAATTAAGAACAAATCCTATTTTTTCATGGAATAGATAAAACAGAACAAAGCAGACTAATTTTTAAGTGATATTGTAAAACTCTCTGCCTTTACATAAGATAGAATGGCTTTATTATTTTTTCTTAAATTTTTGCCTTTGCTGAAATAGAAATTTTACCATAATATTCAGCAGAACTTCATTAAGCAGAAAATATCGATGGAAGGTCAATAAAAACAGAGCCATGATTCTCTTTCTAGCATGATGTGTTTTAATAGTTTCTGTAGAATGATTATATCCTGCATAAGACACATACCTTGAAATATTGCCAGTCTCACAGTGATAAAAGAACTGCTAACTACTCCCCTAAAATTATGAGTTGAGGTAGGGTTGCTGTGAGGGCAGATGCTAATGATAGCATTGCTGTCTGAATTTTGATTCATGATCCAGTAGAAAAGTAGGGACACTGAGCCAAGAACATTGCATTAAGCCAATACCTTGCTCCTCGGGAGAATGAAGAGGTAGTCTGCTTCTGTAAAGACTTCCAGCCTTGGAAACCAGGGCAGTTCTACTCTGTCCTTAAAAGGATCACTATGAGTCAGAATCAACTTGATGGTAATGGGTTTGGGTAGGCATATGCAAAACTGGCCGGTGAAAACCTTATGAACAACAGAGGAACCTACTCTCATTTAGTGAAGAGCCAATCAGTTTGAAAGGCACTCAGAAAGCAACTGGGGAAGAGCTTCCTCCTCAAAGTAGAGTCCACCTTAATGACATGGATGGAGTAAAGCTTTCAGGAATTTCATTTGCTGCTGTAGCATGATTCAAAATGAGAAGAAACAGCTGAAAATGTCCATTAATAATTGGAATGTGGAATGTACAAAATATGAACCTAGCAAAACTGAGAATAGTCCAAAATGAAATGGAATGCATGGTCTAGGAATTAGTAAGCTGAAATGGACCAGTGTTGACTTTTGTATCAGACAGACAATCATATGGTCTACTATGCCAGAAATGACAGATTGAAGTGATATGGCACCACATTCATTGTCAAAAATACATTTCAAGATCTATCCTGAAGTACAACACTATCAGTGATAGGATAATGTCCATTTGCCTATGAGGAAGGCCAGTTAATACAACATGCATCAACCACTAATGCCAAAGATGAAGAAATTGAAAGAATTTTACCAACTTCTGCAGTCTGACATCAATCAAACATGAAATCAATATGCATTGATATTTACTGGTGATTGGATGTGAAAATTGGAAACAAAGAAGGAGCAGCAGTTAGAAAATATGGCCTTGGTGATAGAAATGACACCAGAGATCGCATGATAGAGTTTTGCAAGACCAACGACTTACTCATTGCAAATACCTTTTTTCAATGTAAACAGTGACTATACACATAGACCTCACCAGATAAAATATAAAGGATTCAAATTGACTACATCTGTGGAAAGAGGCAATGGAAAAGCTCAAGATCATCAGTCAGAAAAAGGCCAGGAGGTGACTTTGGAACAGATCATCAGCTGCTGATATGCAAGTTCAGGGAAGCTGAAGAAAAAAAAAAATCCATGAGAGTCAAAGTGCATACTTGAGTATATTCTACCTGAATTTAGAGACCATCTGAAGAATAGATTTGATGCATTGAACACTAATGATTGAACACCAGATGAGCTGTGAGATGACAGCATACATGAAGAAAGCAAAAGGTCATTAAAAAGACAGAAAAGACCAAAATGGCTGTCAGAAGAGACTCTAAAACTGCTCTTAAATGTGGAGTAGCTAAAGCAGAAGGAAGAGAGGATGAAGTAAAAGAGCTGAATAAAAGATTTCAAAGGGCAGCTTGAGAAGACAAAGTAGTAAAGTATTATAATGAAATGTGCCAAGAAAGACCCAGAGTTAGAAAATCAAAAGGGAGAACATGCTCAACATTTCTCAAGGTGAAGAACTGGGGGAAAAAAAAATTCAAGCCTCCAGTTTCAATATTGAAGAATTCTATGGGCAAAATATTGAAGGACATAGAAAACATCAAAAGACGATACACAGAGTGACAGTACCAAAAAAAATTGGTCAAAGTTCAGCCATTTCAGGAGGTAGCATATGATCAAGAACCAATGGTACTGAAGAAAAAAGTTCAAGCTGCAGTGAAGACATTGGTGAAAAACAAGTCTCCAGGAATTGACAGAATACTAATTGAGATGTTCAACAATAAGAAGATTGTTTACTCCCCAAAATGTAGTTTTATAGCTGAATTTTCCCAACTTTAAAAGCACAGATAAATTTTCACATTCTTATAAAGATAGAAAGATCACTAATTTTTTAATATGCTATGGTAGTTAAGTTTGTGTGTCACCTTGGCTGGGCCTGGTTGAGTGGCTGGGCAGCTGGATGTAGTATTCCCCATGATGAGAATACTCCATGGTGGAATCTACTGTGAGCAGCAGAGTAGCTGCTTTAGAGATGTGATCTGCTTCCCGTATATAAGAAGCAGCTTTGGAAATAGTCTCTAGCTTGTGGCACACTTGAACCCTGCATGTAGCTGTGTCATTGTTCAGCAGCCTGCCATGCTCTGCTGACCTTGGGACTTTCAATGGACTTGAATTAATGGCCTGACATGTGGTTTGGTAACATTGGAACTATGCGTTTCTACTTGTCAACCTTGGGCTTGTGAGCCTCAGCAGCCAGCAGCTAAGTGAAGAAAAGCCTCCAGCTTCAGTGGGCCAAGAACAGAAGGCAGAGCTGAAGCACAAGGTTGAGGGGATTTCACCCAGGCCCTAGAGCCTGCCTGCCACTTTGAACTCAGACTTAAAGTCTCTAAACTATAAGAGAATAAACTATTTGTTCAAGCCATGCCATGTGTGGTATATTCTTGTCAGAGCAGCACTAGGTAACCAGAACATATGCCTAATATAATCCTATGCCAAGAAATTTGGAAGATAGCTACTGGTCCAACTGACTGGAAGACATCCATATTGTACCCATTCTAAAGAAAAGAGAACCCACACAATCTGGAAATTATTGAACAATATCGTTAATATCACACACAAGTAAAATTTTGCTGAAGATAATTCAAAAACAGTTGCAGCAGTACATTGACAGGGAACTTCCAGAAATGCAAGCTGGATTCAGAAGACGTGGAACAAAGGATATCATTACTGATGTCAGATGGATCCTGGCTGAAAGTAAAGAATTCTAGAAAGATGTTTACTTGTGTTTTATTGACTATGCAAAAGCATTCATCTGTGTGCATCATAACAAGTTATGGTTAACATTGAGAAGAATGGGAATTGCAGGACACTTAATTGTGCTCATGAAGAACCTGTACATAGACCAAGAGACTGTTGTTCAAATAGAACAAGGGGATACTGCATGGCTTAGAATCAGGAAGGGAGTGCATCTGGGTTGTATCTTTTCACTATACTTATTCAATCTGTATGCTGAACAAATAACCCAAGAATCTGGATATATGAAGAAGAATGTGGCATCAGGGTTGGAGGAAGACTTATTGACCACCTGCAATACGCAGACAACACAACTTTGCTTGCTGAAAGTGAGGGTGACGTGAAGCACTTACTGATGAGGATTAAAGACTACAGTCTGCAGTAGGATTGCACCTCAACATAAAGAACACAAAAATCCTTACAACTGGACCAATAAGCAGCATCACAATAAATGGAGAAAAGATTGAAGTTGTCAAAAATTTTATATTACTTGGTTCCGCAATCAACATCAATGGAAGCAGCAGTCAAGACATCAGACAACATATCATGCTGGGCAAATCTGCTGCCAAAGACCCCTTTAAAGTGCTGAACAGCAAAGATGTCTCTTTGAAGACTAAAGTGAGCCTAACCCACAAACCAAACCACACTCACTGCTGTTGAGT